TTTAGATATTTATTTGTAATTAGTAGTAATCGTCTAATGCGAGTGATTATTGAAGTATTTACATTATTTTCAATTTTTTTTATTATGAAATTAATAAGAATATCAACATGCTTGACGAATAATTATATACTTACATTTTTAGAATGGACCCATGTCGAAGCCCTTTTATCGACAAGCCCATATAAACTACACTCAAATGCCCGAGTTGACCATAATTTAAGCAGTCAAATTGTTATAATAAGTTAACTTAAATTAAGAGGCTTGGGCCTATAATAATATAATTTTTATATCAAATATCCGAATTCATAATTCATAATTCTCAATTAATTTCTTAATGAATTTTAAAAACTAATTAAGTTTGAGGAACAAAATAATTTTGCTATCGAAAAGTGAGAGTGAATAATAAGAAATAAAAAAAAAAATTTGCACATAAAAAAAATAAAAATAAATAAGAAATAAAAGAGAGAGAAGAAGTGTAGGCTAACAGTCAGAGATAGACAGAGTCGCAGTTCTGAGCGCGAAGCCGTATTGAGGTTGAGAGGGGGTAGGGGCAGTCCGGGCAGCCCGTCACACCGCTCGGGCAGCTCTCGAAAACACTGCACACAGCGCATACACACACACACACACGCCCAAAAAGAAGAAAAACGATAATTATCCCACCTCCACACTTCGAAGAGGAGAGAGAGAAAGAGAGACTCAGAGAGGGTGAAGATTGATTTGTAGAGAGAGAAGAAAAAGTAAAGTACACTGCGAGAGGTAAAATAAATAAAAAAGTTTGCAGAGAGAGCCCTTAAAAGTGCCGAGAAATTTTTTTAGTCCCTATCAGAAAAGTCTTTCAACTACTGATTATTTACACACATTCTCAATTAAATAGCAAGGAATCCCATTTCAGCGATGGGATCAATTTCTTGATGGGAGTGAACGAGGGAGATTATCATCTGGGTTTTGTGGGTTTTTTATTTAAATGCCATGTCTTCCTTTATCTGGATCTGAGACGTTAACGCACGCGCCGCTGAATTCTGTCATCTATTTTATACAGACGTTTTTTTTTAAAACTTTTTTGTGTAATGGGAATGGAGAAGTGGAAGGAAAGAGTGAGCATGACGTCACTGGTTGTGTGGTTGATCTTCGTGGTGCTTCCATTTAAATGTATTTTTGCTAATATGGAAGGTTTGTGTCTTCTACTCCAGTCAGTCTCACTGATATTTTGTTTATGTTTTCTTTTGATGGAATTTATTATTTGTTCATAGATTTTGACTTTTTCCTGCTTAGTATGGTTTGAGGTTTTTAAGCTGGAAATGCAGCTTATAAGCTCAATTTTGTATAATTGATTATGACTACTTTTGGCTGTACTTTGAAAAGTCCAGTTTTAGGTATTTTACTGGAAATTTTGAAGGAGTAGTGATTAATTTAATTATGGGTTTATTAAGTTATGCACACTGTTAAATGGTGCTATTAAGTATGAATCTTGATTTTGAGTTTAGGGCTATGATTATTCTTGATATCGGGTAAAAGAAAAATCCGTAGGAAGAACGACGAAACCATTTTGTTATGAATTAGAGTGATATTCGATCAAGTATTATAGATTTCTGCTGTACTCGAATACGGGTTTATTCTATATAACCTACTTTGGTTCGAATTTTGAATTATTATGTCTTCGTAATTTGAGTTGTTTTGATGTTGGTGCTATTGAAAGACGAATGGCTTTATCGACGTTTACGGATTTGAATTTGGCGGTGGTTTTGTTTTGAAATAGGTGATGCTCTACATAGCCTTAGGACGAATTTACAGGATCCTAACAATGTGCTACAAAGCTGGGACCCGACACTTGTCAACCCTTGCACATGGTTCCATGTCACCTGCAACAACGATAATAGTGTAATAAGAGTGTAAGAATACGATTCATTGTTTTCCCTTTCTTGTGTTCCATGTCCGTTTTCTATTTGTTATTTGTCTTGTCTCGCAACTTATTTCGTTAATTGAAATGCTTATCTGATTCGTTTTAAATCAATTTCCGTTTTCAGTGATCTTGGGAATGCTGCTTTATCAGGTCAATTGGTACCACAGCTTGGCCTATTGAAGAATTTGCAGTACCTGTATGCTGTTTTTCGTATTATTTGCAACTACTTATTTATATATATATATGCATATATGTATGCTTTGTTTCGATTGGAAGATCAGTTGGCTTTGATTGGTTTTGTACGAAAACAGCGAACGTTTGCAGTATTTGAACTAATGATGTTTCGTTCGATCTGTTTGTGGTGATAGGGAGTTATACAGCAATAACATAAGTGGGCCAATACCTAGTGATCTTGGAAACCTTACTAATTTGGTGAGCCTCGATTTGTACTTGAACACTTTCGCCGGTCCTATTCCCGACACATTGGGCAAGTTGTCCAAGCTACGTTTCCTGTACGTTAACTTCTCCTGCACTACTACTAAAAATAAATCATTTTATGTGAATCTTATCGTTGACTATTGTGTCTCTGTAAGAAAAGGCGGCTAAACAATAACAGCTTAGCGGGCCCCATCCCTTTGTCGTTGACCAATATCTCATCCCTTCAAGTTCTGTGAGTATCCATGTTCGTTTTTTTATCGTACAATCTCTCTAGGAGGTGTCATAGCAATTGTCTTATATTAACGTTCTTATTCAGGGATCTATCGAACAACCGTCTCTCAGGTGCGGTTCCAGATAATGGTTCATTTTCGTTATTTACGCCTATAAGGTAATTTGTTATATGCACTCACGGTGGATTTGAGTTTTAACTTTCATTGTACTTTTTGATTAGGAAGTGAACTAACTGTGTGATTTGCCCCTTTACAGTTTTGCAAATAATTTGGATCTGTGTGGGCCCGTCACTGGGCGCCCGTGCCCTGGATCTCCGCCATTCTCTCCACCCCCTCCATTTATCCCACCGCCCCCAATTTCTGCTCCAGGTTATTTGTGTTTTTTTTTCTTTGGGAATTTCTTTCGAGTTGATGCCTTAAGATGCCAAACTGTACTTAAAAAATGTTAATTGCAGGAGGAAGTAGTGCAACTGGAGCCATTGCCGGAGGGGTTGCTGCTGGTGCAGCTCTGCTATTTGCCGCCCCTGCCATTGCATTTGCTTGGTGGCGTCGGAGAAAACCACAAGAATATTTCTTCGATGTTCCAGGTTTACTACGATTTTTTCCCACTCTATTTTTAACAATATATATATTATTAATCTCTCGAGCTTCTTAATATTTAATAATAAAAGTCTGCGTTAACTTTGCCAGCTGAGGAGGACCCTGAAGTCCACTTAGGACAGCTCAAAAGATTCTCTCTCCGAGAGTTACAAGTTGCAACCGATAGTTTCAGTAATAAAAACATTTTGGGGAGAGGTGGATTCGGTAAAGTATACAAAGGTCGATTAGCTGACGGCTCATTGGTCGCTGTCAAAAGGCTTAAGGAGGAGAGGACACCTGGCGGAGAGCTTCAATTCCAAACGGAGGTTGAGATGATAAGTATGGCGGTGCACCGTAATCTCCTGCGTCTGCGTGGGTTCTGTATGACCCCTACCGAACGGTTGCTCGTTTATCCTTACATGGCTAACGGAAGTGTCGCATCTTGTTTAAGAGGTCATTCTCTCTCTCCCCCTTTTTTTCAAGATTTGCCACTTCAAGTTTGAAGGATTAATTACTGAAAACCCCCTCACTTATAATTACCAAAATAACCCTTACTAATGGTTGACAATATTTCTTAACAGAAAGACGTGAAAGGTCTATAATGTATGAGTAGGGGTGGAAATTTGAATGTAAATTCCGATTTTTGCCGATTCCGATTGGAAATGTTCTAACTGAAACAGTATTTTTCATTCCATTTTCCGATTTTTCTGAAATTGTTTGGATTGGAATTGGAATAAATATGAGATTCATATTTCCAATCCGATTTCAATTTCCAAAAATAATTTCAAAAATCCCGATTTTCCCTCCAAAATTTACACTTGTTATATCAAAACCGCATTTTAATATCGGAAAGTGGAAATTGCTAATATCGGTTCGACTTTTAATTGACCTTCAGGGGGTTTCTTGTAATTCACTGAAGTTTTTTTTTTTTTTTTTTTTTTTAATGTTTTTTTTAATTTTTGCAGAGCGTCCGCCGAATGAATTACCACTTGATTGGCCAACTAGAAAGAGAATTGCACTGGGGTCCGCTAGAGGATTATCTTATTTGCACGACCATTGTGACCCGAAGATTATTCACCGTGATGTAAAAGCTGCGAATATATTACTTGACGAAGAATTCGAAGCAGTGGTTGGAGATTTTGGATTGGCTAAGCTCATGGATTATAAAGACACTCATGTTACTACAGCTGTGCGTGGCACTATCGGACATATTGCCCCTGAATATCTTTCAACGGGAAAATCTTCCGAAAAAACCGATGTTTTTGGTTATGGGATTATGCTTCTTGAGCTTATAACTGGGCAAAGGGCATTCGATCTCGCACGCCTTGCAAATGACGACGATGTCATGTTACTCGATTGGGTATGTATATATCATCTTTTTTTAATTTTTAATTTTTAATAAAAAAATAATAATCTTGATTTATGAGTTTGCGGTTATAGGTGAAAGGGCTATTGAAAGAGAAGAAATTGGAAATGTTGGTCGATCCAGATTTGCAGACGAATTATATCGAGGGAGAAGTGGAGCAGTTGATACAGGTGGCGCTTTTGTGTACGCAGAGTTCTCCGATGGACCGGCCAAAAATGTCGGAGGTGGTGAGAATGTTGGAGGGTGACGGACTGGCGGAGAAATGGGACGAGTGGCAGAAAGTGGAGGTGCTGCGGCAAGAGGTGGAATTACTTGCTCCTCATCACACCTCCGAGTGGATTGTCGATTCTACTGAAAATTTACATGCCGTTGAATTATCGGGTCCCAGATGATTTTTTTAATTTTAATTTTCTTTTTCGTCTTGTTTCCTAGTAGGTAAAAAAGAAAAAAAAAATTAACAGATTCAGAAATTTGTGGTGAATTGTATTTGTTATATTTTGTGCATAGGTTTTTGAAAATCATAGGAGCCGCCTTTCTTGAAAACGGGAATCGTCGTATTCTAACGAAATTTTAAATTTGCGATAACGATTCGAATTAGATTTTTTATGGGTTATGCAATAGTTCAGATTTCAAATGAAAATTACAGAGTTTGAATTTCTTCATTTCTTCATTTCCTCATTTCAACTGCTAAATCAGTTTCTTGTTTGTGAGATTATTTCAATCTAATACTCTATTAATTTAATTATTTTAATCAATAATCATATGCCTTTATAGCTTCTGGATACATTAGGATTAATTTAGATAATCACTTTTGTGACAAGGATTACACAATTTTAAGAGCTCTCTCAAATCTCCTAAAAACTATATGCCTCCATCTAAAAACATTAAGCACTTCATTTTAAACCTCTTCAGCAAATTTTGGTGAACATGTTTGAATAGCATCTGCTACAGTCAGAAAAATCTTGTCTTCGCCTAGACAACTCGCAAATTTCGACGCGTGTAATTTGTCTATAACTACAGGTCCCGGATTTGCAAGAACAAGCTGTTTAAACACCGTAAAGAAAATATGTTAATTTTTTTTATAATAATATTTTTTCGAAACATACTTGGTATTTAAATTTGCAATTTTTCTGCATTACCTGAACATCTCTCTTCTGTAGACTTCTGTGCAGTTCTTCCAATGCATGGATCCCACTCGTATCTATATCCGTAACGGCTATAATAGAATACGTAAATTCATGAGAAATCGAAACATGCAAATATTTTCAAGAAAATAATTAAATAAATAAAAATATTCACTCACGTGACATTTCAACTATCAAAAACTGAATGTCGAAAAGCCCAGCAGCTTTCAGTTGCTCCTCTTCATCAGTCAGCCACCTCAGTATTCTTCATAAGAATAAATTTAATTTTAAAATGTGTGTTAAATTGAATAACCTTAATTAATTACTAATTAAAAAAAAAAGACTAATTAATTACCTCTCCTTAATGTAGTTTGAGTTCGAGAAGTAAATAGCGGAATCGACCCTTATAATAAGAACCCCCGGAACCTTACTTGCTTCCGGATACTGTTGAATATTCCGATAAACATTTGTTCTCGGAATTTTTCCCAGAATGACCGTTTTAGGCCTCGTCACTTGCAAGAGTAGTTTAGCAAAAGATATCGAAACCTGTAATAACGAGAGCAAAATGTAAACATTTTTTTTTCTAATAACTAATTATAATATTCTTATATATAATTTAATAATATTCAATTCTAACAGCAATCAAGAGGCCGATTTCAACGGAGGCAAAAACAACTCCGAAAAATGCTCCCATGCAAGCGATGAAATCGAATTTATCAATCTTCCAAATCAAAATCGCTGCTTCGTAATCAATCAGGCCAATCACAGCAGAGATAATGATCGAAGATAGGATTGCGTTCGGTGTGTACTCGAAAAGTGGTGTGATGAATTGTAGAGTTAAGAATACGACAATCGACATTACTATGTTTGAAGCAGCTGTTTTACATCCAGCCATGTAATTTACTGCCGAACGCGAAAATGAACCTGCCAGCGCAACGATTTTTTTTTAAATTATGTAATTTTTTTTTAATTTTATTTAGTGGATATATATTAAAAAAAAAAAAAATTACCCGTGGCGACGTAGCAAGAAGTCATTGAACCAGCAATATTCATTGCACCGAGAGCAACCATTTCTTTGTTACCGTCAATTTGGTAGTCTTTCATGGCGGCAAATGTTCGTCCAATTGCAACAGCTTCCTGGTAATTAGTATATTCCGGTTATATAATTAATATTTTTTCGAAAAATGATTATGTAATAAAACATATTATGTAAGAACAAAAAAAAAGCTTACAGTTAGTGCAATAATGCCAGCCACCATTCCGATCCTAACGCCTTTCAAGAGATATTCCCCGCTGAGATATATTTCTTTCACCGACGGGGGATTAATTCCTTTCTCGATATGCCTCACCTTTTCATACGAAACAAAAAAAAAGTATTACATATTGAAGAAACGACGTATATATGTATGCGTATATATAAACGGAACTTACGATTTGTACTCCCTTATTCTCTGCATGGGTGATGTAAACGAAGAACGTGGACAGAACGACGGAGATTAGCGGGGCAATTGCAGGCACCCAAAATAGTTTCTTGCTCTTTTTCCCCTGCATTAAAAAAATCATTTATCGGAATTAACATGATTTTTTTATTGTTGATATATAAAAAAATACGAATGTGTCGAATGTTAGGATATATATAATTATTTTCTTACAATGTACTTTGCGAATAGAAGAAACACGAGAAATGTTGCTCCGATGACAATTGTCTCCCAGTTCCACTGAAAATATACGATGATCAACGTAAGTACGACATTCAAATAAAAGCATTCTTGATTTGTGTGTGTGTGTTGTGTGTGAGAGAGAAAGAGAGCTAACTCCGTGGTGGGCAGAGCCGAAAACAGAGCGCATAACAGAGACGATATCGGTATTTTTCGTAAATTTTTTAATGCCTAAGAACCCTTTGAGTTGTTGAAGAGCAATTGTTATTGCAGCACCAGCCATGAAACCAACAACCGCAGCATGCGAAAGGAAATCGATTAGGAACCCTAATCTGTTCGAACACAAAACAAATAACATTACATAAAGAACGTAAAACTATGGAAACTTGTAGAAGCTTCTAGAAACAAAATTACCTCAGAATGCCGAGTGTCGCTTGTGTTATGCCAGCAAAAAAAGTAGCCGTAAAAGCAAGCCTTCGATACTCGAAAGCATCTTTTACGGGATCGATCTCGTTTTGTAGTAAAGTTCCGAGAAGGAGTGAAACAACAGCCACCGGACCTATTGCTATATCTCTCGAGCTCCCCATGAACGCGTAAACCAAAGGTGGTACAAAGCTCGAATCTTTAAAAAAAAAAAATTAAGCTCGTGTAATTATCGAAAGATAATTTTTTTTATTAAAGATTACTCACATAAGCCATATTGGGGAGCCAAATTTGCAAGCTTGGCGTAGCCAATGTCCTGTTGCCACGTGTAACAAAAAAAATTAAAATATTGTTCAAATATAACACGCATGCAAATGCAATATTTGTTTCGTCACAAGTAGTGTATATGTACGTACCTGAGGAATGCAGAGGCTGGCGATTGTAAGTCCGGAAATTAAATCACCTTTGAATTTAGCAAGATCGTAATTTCGGCCCCATTCGAAAATCGGGAAAACAGCCTGTATTCCGAGGATGAGCTGGCGGCACTTTGATTGATGCTTAAAGGAGTGTAAAGGGTCGTCGGAGAAGAAAGTTTCTTTCAATGTGGTGGAGAATTCGGTCCAAAGATTCTGCTTTGGCGGAACTCCTACTTTGTACGGCAAACTAGGATTGTTGTTATTATTACTACTATCCATCTCTTTTATCTCGATCGAATCTTGAGTATGAACTCGCATTGATTATTACAACTACACACAAAGACGAAAAAAAGATAAATTAATCGATCAATGCAGCAGTATTTAGTCGAAGGGATATCTTGGTCACCGTTTTAATGTTCTGTATTTATAACATTTTTTTCACAAAGGGTACGTCGCAGAAGCACTTTTAAAACAGTGTTCGAAATGTAAAAGCTACCACTAAAAGTACTTATTGTAATTTAAAAAAAAAAAAAGTGAGGAAATTAAGTAATTACGCAATGTCCGACAGAATGGATGGAAGCAAGCAAAAGTAGGAGAAAATAAGCTTTGTTTAGAGCATCTATTTTTATAATTGCAGGTCAAACTTTTCTAACGAGTTAAGAAAAAAGAAACGATCCCATGACGAATGTGGCTAGTTTTCTAGTCAGATACCGATGGAGACGAAGAGAAACAATACCAGTGTTCGATTTTGACTAGTTCAACATGTAATTTGTGGCGGTTTGCTTAAGCAATGATGTCATTAATTCCACTACTACTACGGTAATTAAATTAATTTGTTCTAGTAATCAAACTGTTCTACAGAATGTAAGGAATTTGCTATGTTTCTCGTATATTTTTTTTTCTTTTCGAGCAACCGTAAACAGACACACACACACACACAGTGAAGTTATTACAAAGTGATATATATTTTCCATGGTTATATATAACTTGTAAACATTGTAAGTATTAATCAAAATATAAAATTCATGATAAATTAATAATGATTCATTACATCACATCACATACTAATACTATAATAATACTATGATCAAACAAATAATGTCAAAACTAACCATAGTTAAATGAATGAATGCATAAAATCTTTCCAAAGAGAATAAAAATCCAATAAATAAAGTGACATATCTCATCTCAGTTTCCAAATGCCATTCATAGTGCATCTCATATATGCCCCACCCCACCCCTACCCCCACCCCCACCCCCACCACATAGCAGTTAGGCAACACCGAAAAAGGCAAAGCACACCATTACATATATTCTATTAGTACTGTTACAATTATTATATATTCTTTAATAAATATATTAATTATGAAGAGACACACACACACACACACACACACACACACAAATGTAGCAACCGGGTTTTACCTTTTGGCGCGTCGCGCACACACACAGTGGGGGGTGCCGGTTTGGGAATTAAAGAAACCAGTTGAAAAATCAAGAAAAAGGCGATCAAGAAATGATGGCAAACTGACTGAATATTTGTTCAAAAACAAGTCCAGGTTCATTGACGTTCAGAATTTGCATTCCTCATTTCCGTACATCTCTCTCCATCTTTTTACCATGATTTTTCTTTTTAAGAAAGAAAAGATCAGTGGGGAAAAACAAAAAGTAATAAATTATATTTTACAATTTCCAAGAAGAAATAAATAATTATGGGGCGAAGACCCCCCCACGTACTTGGTGTCAAAAAAGTCAAGAGAGGAAATGGGAAAATCGACCACGTATGTTTCAGTTACTTTTTCAGAGTCAGCGGTCAACGCCTAAAACTAATTAATTTACACTAACCAAATTAATTGATTGTGTATAGGGAAAATGTGTACCGAATCCACCCACAACCAAATTGGACGGTGTAGCTTCAGTGTGTAATTGATTATAAGACGGAAGTAGTAAAACCTAATTGAAAATATATGAACCTGGACGGGATGACGGGACAATTCGTGAATTTGCAATTCTCGTTAAAAGTGAGTGTGTTTATGCCGACCAATTTCCGCCTCCCGTTGTGATCTGTTATCAAGCATTTATTCAATCATCACTTCCATCTTGCCTTTTTTTTTTTTTTTTAATTTATTTTTTAAAGTTGCATTATAACTTAATCTTACTAAATAAGTGAGCATTAATGACTTTTTTTTTACAAATTTTACTTAAACTTATTAATTTCATGAATTATGAATATAATATTCACTAATCGAACTCAAATGAAATTAGGTTTTAATTAATGTATGATTTCAATACATGACATGATAGTGACGTGTCATTTAGACAAGGACGAAATGCGACGCTAAAAAACGTGTGAACGTGTGATAGATACACACTTGAAAGGGCACCTTCTATGTATATATATATATATGCATGATGTGGCCGGGCTGTACGTATATATAAAGTGAGCTGCCCACTGCCACCATTCTTGAATCTCCTCAAGTTCACCCAAACACTTCAAAACAACTCCTCCACATTAATTAATATGGAGTTGCAGCAGCTTGACATGGACGGCGGCGGCGCCGCCATCACCGCCGCCGGCGCACCGTCGGAGAGGTCAAAATGGCTGCTGAACTCTCCAGACCCGCCAGCACCATGGCGGGAGATGTTCAGCTCCATGAAGGAGACAGTTTTCCCTGGACGACGAAAAGGAAAGCAGCAACTACCTCGTACAAATCGAGCTCTTCTTTTCATGCAAGCCCTATTCCCAATCCTCAAATGGGGAAAGTATTACAAAGCTTCCATGTTTAAGAACGACTTGTTGGCTGGCTTAACCCTCGCCAGCCTCTGCATCCCTCAGGTTCATTTATTAATTTAATTAATTTAATATATATATTAATTATTTTTACTGTGATATAATTAGCAGTTTCTTGATCAAGTTATAAATTAATTTATAATTTGCAGAGTATTGGATATGCTAATCTAGCTAAAATGGATCCTCAGTATGGCCTGTGTAAGTCCAATCGATCAAAACATTTGTTTATTTATTTATTTATTTATAATTTGATGATATATTATAAATATAAATAATTATGAAAATGCATACAGACACAAGTGTAGTTCCGCCATTAATATATGCTGTGATGGGAAGTTCAAGAGAGATCGCCATTGGTCCGGTGGCTGTGGTTTCGTTGCTTCTCTCCGCCATGGTTTCCAAAGTAGTCGACCCTACTTCCGATGCCGCCGCCTATCGCCGTACTGTTTTCACCGTCACCTTCTTCACCGGTTTCTTCCAGGGCCTCTTTGGATTATTCAGGTTATTCATTAATATATAACATAATATTAATTAATCTTCTTCATGGCCTGTAATATAATATGATTAATAATTAATTAGTTGATTATTATTTCAGGTTAGGGTTTCTTGTGGACTTTCTGTCACATGCAGCCTTAGTTGGATTCATAAGTGGTGCAGCCATTGTAATTGGCCTCCAACAGTTGAAGGGCTTACTTGGAATTTCACATTTCACCTCTAAAACTGATGTCCTTTCTGTCTTTACTGCTGTACTTAATGCCCTTCATCACCAAGTAATTAACTAATAAACCTAATTATTCACAAATTAATTTTTCTTTGATCAACAATTAATACCTTTATATTTAATTTTCTGATGTTATATCATTATATATATATGTTGTTGATCAAACAGTGGTATCCATTGAATTCTGTCCTTGGCTGTTCATTCCTCATCTTCATCCTAATTACCCGATTTCTCGTAAGTTCGTCTCAAATAATAAAAATAGTAATTATTTTTTGGATTTTTTGTTCTTTCAAATAATTAATAATCATTTTGATAAATATATATTAATGTATTATTAGGGTCAAAGAAACAAGAAGTTATTCTGGTTACCGGCCATGGCTCCGCTTCTATCGGTCGTATTATCGACACTAATAGTGTACTTAACGGAGGCTGATAAACATGGCATCAAAATAGTTAAACATTTTAAAGGAGGCCTTAATCCAAGCTCACTTCATCAGTTAAACTTCGGTGGCCCGCATGTCGGAGAAGCGGCTAAAATCGGATTAATTTGTGCCCTACTCGCACTCACTGTCAGTTATTTCTACTTATATATAGCCCAATCAAAAAATGTTATAATTAATATGATGAGTATATATTAATTAAATTAGTTTAATATAATAATAATAATGATCAGGAAGCGATTGCTGTCGGGAGATCGTTCGCTTCGATGAAAGGCTACCACCTCGACGGAAACAAAGAAATGGTTGCCATGGGATTTATGAACATTGTCGGCTCTTTAACTTCCTGTTACACAGCAACTGGTCAGTGCCATATATAATTTTATTTTATTTTATTTTATTACAAAATTAATATACTAAATACATAAAAAAATATTTTGTCCAGGCTCGTTTTCGAGAACAGCGGTGAATTATAGTGCAGGGTGCGAAACAGTGATATCGAATATCGTGATGGCGATAACGGTGTTGATATGTCTCTTGTTTTTCACAAAGCTACTGTATTACACACCACTTGCTATTTTGGCTTCGATAATATTATCTGCGTTGCCTGGACTTATTGATTTAAACGAAGCGTATAATATATGGAAAGTCGACAAGCTCGATTTCATGGTTTGTCTTGGTGCCTTCTTTGGTGTCCTGTTTGGTTCCGTCGAAATCGGCCTCCTCGTCGCGGTAATAATATATAATTTTAATATTTTTTTCAATAATTACAAGGACGAATATGAAAGATTCCGGGAACTAAAAGGTGATGAAATATAATATATCATTAGATAGATTCTGGTTCAACTAATTTGAGAATCTAATAGTCGCCCGAAAAGGTGTTTAAAGATGATCGAGAAAGATGCTACGTACTAAAAAAATATATATACACACACCGAATATCTATTCTATAGGTTGCTTTTGTTAAGTGCCAGTTTTAATTTTTAGTAGTAATTAATAACATATAAAGTAAAATTTAATATTAATTATTTTTGTTTATTTATCTAACCATGGTTAATGATGATGCATGGTTGCAGGTGGTGATGTCATTTGGTAAGATAATAGTGAGTTCAATAAAACCTAGTACAGAAGTACTAGGCATACTTACTGGTACAGATTTATTCTGCAACATATTGCAATATCCTATGGCTAACAAACTTCCCGGAATTTTAATCACCCGTATTAATTCCGGAACTTTTTGCTTTGCCAACGCCAGTTTCATCCGAGAAAGGTATACATTGTACATACTGCGTATATATACATATATGTATGTACGTACTGATCGATCGATAAAATATCATGATGCTTTGTTTATGGTTCGATCAGGATATTGAGGTGTGTAACCGATGAGAGTAACATAGAAGAAAGTAGCAAAGGCCGACTTCAAATGTTGATCCTCGACATGACTAGTAAGTTTTATTTGCTACGTTCGTACACTAATTCATCGCGCCATACATATATCAGATTAAATAATAAAACTTCTTTTCGGATTCTTTTCTTAATTAAAAAAAAATATGTATATAGTATATTTAACCTATAATATAACTGTCGTTGCGTCAGATGTGATGAATATCGACACTTCGGGAATTCACGCGTTGGAGGAACTGCATAAGAAAGTTACAGCACGAGGACTAGAAGTGAGAACATTAATATATATTAGTATAATTTACATATATAGCATTTTTAATTAAATATTTGATTATATTTTTGAACTTAACATTTATAATAATTTGAGTTATATATTTATTTAATTTGAATTACTAATTTAATTGATTTTGCAGTTAGCAATGGTGAATCCGAGGTGGCAAGTTGTCACCAAAATGAAGGCATCAAAGTTTATAGAAAAGATTGGAGCTGGATGGATATTCCTCTCTATAAGTGATGCTGTGGATGCTTCTATTCATCTCAAAATGAATGGTCTTAACACATGTTAATTAATTATCTACTGTGATCTTAAATAATAATAATTAAATAAATAATAATCCTACTACATTTAGGTCCAACATTTCAATTTTTATGTATAATAATATTGACATTAATTAATTAATGTTGGCATAAGATTAATGTAGTATTGGAGATTTGGAATTCATAATGCTAATGCTCTTTGTTATGAAGTTAATGTGTAAAGGAAATGAGTTAGAGCTAGCACTAATTAATGGTTTAATTAATTATTAACCTCTTATTTAAAATTTCATCTAACTTTATACTGTATATGGAACAACATGTTTCCTGCTAGATGTAAGCTTAACTCGGCTGGGTCGGGTCGGGTCACTTACTCAAATTGGGCTTACCAAAAATTCTATCTTTAAATTGGGCTTATGTTTTAAACAAGATGGGCTTCTATCTGTTAAATAAGACCTTTCCCTTGGGTCACGAATGTAGCTATAATATTTTATATTTTATTAAAAAACTTATGGAAAATGAAAAACACTATATATATAATAATATGCATGAAAATTCATCTGAATATTAAAAAAAAAATATACATATAAATTACAGCAAGTTACTCCATCATATATAACATATAATACTGCTATTAAGATTTAAGACACAAATAAAAACAAATCCTAATTAACATTACTAGACTAGTAGTTACATATATATATATATATTCTATAGTACTGTCGTCTGTCTTGATGATTAAAATATAATTAATTTACATGATTGAGCATGCATTAGGGTTTTCATCACTGAACATGAGAGTATACTGTTCTTCCACGGGAGTTAGGGTTACGACCGCCGGATCGTCGGAGGCACGGACGAAATTAGGGGGCGCTTTCTTGTCGTAAACTCCGGCGACGTAAGGGTGGGCAACCATTGTGTACGGAACATAAGGCCACGGCTCTACTTTCTTACCGGTTGATTGAGCCGCCTTCATCACATCCTTCGCTTCGATGTATCCGTACACCGTTGCTTTCTGCTGTTTCATATCCAACTCCACCGATTTCGCCCCTTTAATTAATATATCATAAATATTTTTTCACAGAATATACATACATGATACATATATGCATGCATGAACAAATTATACATTTAAGAAAAATTCATTAATAAAACCTAGTTACGTTAATGATTAAATACCTTTGACCCGAGAGAGAGCTCTGTTGACTTTAAGAGCACAGCCATCACAGTCCATTCTGATCTTGACTGAAACTGTGTTTAACTGTTTCTTTTTCTTCTTTTTGTTACTGCTGCTACTAAACACATCAGACAAGTATTCCAATGTGCCTGCAACTCCCATTTTTTTTTATTTTTTTTATATATATTTTGCTATATATTAGTTTCTTGATGAATGGCTACTGGCTAGTGCACACTTCACTGCATCCATATATATACACACACTGAG